TTTTAAAAAAATTATTAACGTATTTTAAATATAAAGAATAAATGCATTCAAAACCGTTTTTTTTAATTAAAAATTAAATATACATAAAAAAATTCTATAGTATTAAATCAAAAATTTTTAGTGGCTCTTTAAACGCGGGAAATTTTGTAAAATTATAACTTTTGGCTCTTTCATTTTAAAAGGTTGCCGACCCCTGGTTTAGTAAGTATGATTCAAAATGATTTTTCCAACCACGGCCTGCTTGTATAAATTGCTTCTAAACAAGGTAATGATTATTGCAATGTCCAGAATAATAAAATCACAAATTAAATAAGATTATAATAAAAATTCAATGCAGAACGGCTTTTGACAGATTGCATAATAAATCAAAACTTACTATATTCTTCTTTTCCATCCAATTACTAATGTATAATATACTTGTCCACCAATAGTTGGTGCAAGCCTTCAACTCAGGATCAACCATCTCGTACCAGAATGGACCAGAGCTGATGAGAGGTAAGAAGAAAAGCAGTCCAACGGTCAACAACAGAGGGGGTGTTAATCTGAAAGAAAGATTTCAATGTTCCTTAGTGGACTTCGTACCTAAAATGAACGAATCACGCTCTTTAAAAATATTGAAACCTGGTGTCGATTTCGCTGTTAAGAAGTAGTAAGTTTATTTTATCAAATTTCGCTTGAAAATTAACAATCCGAACTAAAGATTTGGTAAGTAATGATATATTTACATGCATGGCTGCCAACTATTTCGCCTTTTTGTAAAATATTTAATTGAATGTCGACAGTTAAAAACTAAAGCTTTGAGAATTAGTATGGTAATAATATGGAGAATGTGATGCCACAATTCCTACATTTCATATATTTCTTATCTTTTAAAATTTCTTAAACTTATTTTTTAATCATTCTTTAATTATATAATTTTTATTACAAATTTATAAAAAAATGAATATAAAATATTTTATTCTTTTCTTAACAATCAATGCAACGGCTAACTTTTTATTTTATATTAATGTAAGACTCATTAATTCACTGTTGCGACAAAATCGAAAACAAAAATCTATTATATATAATTCTCTTACGTGGCTCCCAAATTTTGGCTGTATTTCTTTTCCGCCGGTGGCAACGTTTGCTTTGTTTTGAAAACACCAAAGCATT